AACTTTCTTGAACAAGCAATTATATAGTTATAAACTAAATTGATATTTCAGTGCGTTTTGGGTATCATTAATAATAAATTTTTAAATGAATAAAATCAAAAATTGGTAAGAAATAGATAAGTGGGACGTAACAATATATTTTATAATATTAATATTACAAAAAAGCCAAAATAAGACAATTTGGTACACCTTGATCTGTGGTGTTCTTTGGGGTAGCAGAGACGAATAGAATAAAGGGTTTATTGGTGTGTATTTACGGCAATCAGATCAAGCGCGACAGCCTATTATTATTATTATTGAGAATGCCCAACTGAGCAACGATGGAGAAAGGGTAATAGAATGAGGATACCGAGGTTCCGACGGTTGCTTGATACCGTAGAGATAACGATGAAGATGGAATGAGACGTTCGTAGAAATCGAAATGGATTGAGGTGTTGTAGATATGGTGACGGTACAAACTGTTGTAGAAATCGGGGCCGACAGACGTTATAGAATCGGAGGCGGACGGGCATTGTGGAAAAGGACTTGGTGCCGCTTCTCGACTGAGGCCCGGAGTGGAAGTAGCGAGGAACTTTTTATGGGATGTTGGAAAATATCTTAGCGCCTTTCGGTGGCCTAGTGTGAATAGCGTTAAGAAAATCCTGAGAAAATTGGATGTGGATTACGCATGATGATAAAAGCTACACGAGAAAAACCGCCATCGGCGATAAAGGGCGAGATTAAATACCACACAAAAGCCACATAAAAACCGAATATTATCTGTACATTTAGAAATTATTTTAGTATTTTACATAAAATATATAATTTTAACACAAAATTATCGCTGTTTGTCGACGAATGATGAAAAATAAGGAAGGTAAGTGAGATATTATATTAGTAGCGATATAAATAAAAATAATACAGCGTATTGGTTAATATTTACAATGAATACGCCGTGTTTTTATTCAAGCATGTTTCCGGGCTTCTCTCTTCAGTTCTTTTCGAAACTTCAAATCTTTTTACCGTAGTTTTGCGGATTATACGCTGCCTCTTGTTCCAATGTTTGGTGCTTTTCATTATATCCAGCATTATCATGTGTATATCATAAGCGAAACTACTGAGCTAGTTACCTCTTTACTGAAACATAGTGAACGTCAGGATCACCAGTGGGCTGACCATTAGACTATAGTCAAAGCAACTGGAAAGGGATTTGTAGGGAACCAAACTGTGGATTGCATCCATAGGCCGATCCAGGGG